TCTGGAAGCAATTCTTGAGAGGCCTTCAAAGCTGCCTCGCGGAGTGGAACTTCGGTTCGAGTGCCGTGGCGCATCGTCAGGGGAGCTACCGAAAATCAGGGGCCCCAACACAGACACTGCAAGGAAGATCCGAAGGCAGGGACCAGGTTCGGAACCCCCCAGGTTGCAAAGGGAAAAACCTTCCAAAGGGTGGAGAGCCGATGAGTTGCACATCTCCGTGCTCCCAAAACCCCGAAAAACCCCGCGCTCTTTAGCCCTAGACTCCCTGAACCCTGAAACCCGAAGCCATAAACCATTGACAGTACAACCCTAAACCTTCAACGCTAAGGCCCCAGAGCTTGCAGCTTAAACTCTGCATTCCTCAGCCCCTTTCTGCCAGCTGGCATAGAGACGTGTGTCAGAGTCTGCTCGCATGTGGGCCACCTCTGCTCTCTGTGTTAGGGTTTAGGCTTCAGGGAAGGTTTATGGCTTACGGATGAGGTCTGAAGCTTTGAGGTCGGGGAGGTCTGGGCTTCAGCCAGCAATGGGACTGTAGACCCACATGATCACTGATATATGACCAGCTGTTGGTAGCTATGACTTGGATCATCGTCCTCCAAGATTGGCCCACAACCTGAAAGTTACGACTATCTTTTCAACAGTATGATCCTGGTTCTCACGTCTACGGCTTTTGCTGATCATGCTTTACTACTTTTCCTCTGCACATCCGTGTGTTGTATTTGCTTAAGCTTGCGTTTATCTTCCCTGTTGTGTCTTGTGTTGTTGGTTGCTGGCTAATGAAGTCACAGGCCTGCTTGTACAGATCCTTCGCACATTTACGGACATATACAGCGTATCTTAAATCGGGATTCAAACTGTAAGCGGCCGGCGGCGTCAAGTTTAGGGCACCCCATAGCTTGTAGTGGTTGTAGTGGCATTAAAGGCGCTGGGGCCGACGAAAGTGTTATAGAGCTGCCGGCTCAGCCGGCAAGAGCAGCAGCAGCAGCAGGAGCAGTAGCAGTGAGGCGACGACATGCAGCGGCAACACTGGCATCACAACCACCACCACCACCACCATCATCATCATCATCATCATCAGCATCATCAGCACCATCTTCATCATCATCACCATCATCATCATCAGCATCATTATCATCATCGTCGTCATCACCATCATCATCATCATCGTCATCTTCATCTTCATCACCGCCCGCACCTTCATCAGCGCTAGTATCATCTCTATCGTTCCCCACTGCAGCCTGATCAATGATCACGATGTCATCAATAGCGGCACCGGCAGCGGCACAACTAACTCTCTAACTTCAGGGAGACGGCTCGTGCAACAACAACGTCACCTTCGACAAGTTATGGCTTTCCCTCACACCCTCGGCGATGCAAGGACACTATGCAATTACGTAGCAAGACGAATCTGTATAAGGACATGCGACATGAAGAAGAACTGCGCTGCAGGCGAGTACTGAAGAACAGCTAAATGATGAACAGATCGCCCATGAACTGTAGGCAGCAATAAGAGCGATATATGAAGAACGGACACTTGCATGATTGAAGAGCAAGCAGGTGGGAAATGATTGAACCGCAACTCAAGCAAGCAAACACAAAACATATCACCGGCGCACTAGGAGGCATCCTCACACCATGATAGTGAGTCAGCATCACCACCTTTGTTTCGTCATCAGCGCCAGCGAGGCCCCCATGCGCATGTTTGCTTTGCGAATAGACAGACTGGGGCATGGGGTCCTGCTGATACTCATTCATAGGCAGAGTCACATGCTGGGATGTAAACGTCGTAACATTGGTGACTGACCACATGTTGCAATCAAGTGGCTTTAAACTTCCTGCATGCGTTGTATCTCAAATGCCTGCGCTTGCAGTCGGCACTTGGCAATGTGATCGGACAAATCATGGGCTTCATCTGCAATGTTTCAAAAGTGTTTCGCCTCTAGGCTGCGTCGGCTTCGTGCCTATATGCCAAGACCAGGAATCGAATGAATATGCGGACAGAATCCAAACACAACTGAAGGGGAGGACTTACCAAGGTCCAACTGATTAGACTGGGATGCCTGCGGATGCAAAACGTATGTAGGGCTAGAACGGGTCAAGCTCATTGCAACTATTCAACCTCTATAATTACATGAGATGCATTTACTGCCGATAAGGGTACCCTTGTAAAGTGCAATCGCCCAGATCTCTATTGTGAGTCAAGTACCCCTTGAATGTGCTTGCTAAAAACACCACTCAACGGTAGCGTGGAATCGAAGAGCCGCCTGAAAAGTGTAAGTCACACCGCTGGGGCTCAGGGCTCTTTGGGCATCTTGGGGGTTTAGAAGGAGAAAGGCTTTGTCACCATCTGGGCCATCGATAAGCCTAGGCCTGGAGATTTATTATAGTGGGTTTAAATAGGGTTAAGCCTAAACCCGAAGCCCTAATCTTGGGGCATGGGGTTTTTGTTCAATAACGGGTTCGGGGTTTTGAAGCCAAAAACTAATGGAGGGAGGTCTGGCATGAGACCACCAGGACGCGCTATACGACATGGGCTTAGGGTTTAGGGTTTCGGCGTTAGGGGTTTAGGGTCTTTTTGTTGGGTTCGTGTAGGGCTTAAGGTCCAGGGTTGAGTCACCAGGGCTTCGGGTCTAGGGCTTGAGTGTGACGTTGGTCCAATAACTAAAATCGCAGGGGTGATTCGTGATCTCCTACGTTACATAGGTCATCCCAGGCGTGCACAAGTTCAGGATATGGTTGGGGGAAGGGGCGGGGCACCATCCACTCCACATCCACTCCACTGACACCATAACCCACAAATCAGACCATACCATCCCAATAGAAAACCAAGTCAAATGCTTAACAGACCCGATACAAGCGCAACAACCCTTGCAACAAAAGCACGCAGCCGTTGAGTTTGCCCTTGTACAAAATAAATAACACATAAGAAGTCACCGAGACCCTAAACCATAAACAATCCTGATTCAATATAGGGGCCTTAATCATTAGAATAGGGTTTTGGGGGGGTATATTCTACCATGACTATAGTAGGGATCCCCACAATAGTTTTGGTAATTGTTTCGGCCGCTATATTACCGTAAAGAACCCCACGCCCTGAAACTGAGAAGACGCCTCTTCGGATCTCTGTCGAAGAAGCACTTCTCGCGCTCCAGCTCCAGGTAGAACTCTTCCATGTCAGCTGCCAGTTTGTTAGGAATAGGGGTTTTATGGGGTTGGAAACATGATCCACGGGTAACCGAGACTGAGACAAGGAAACTGCGATGATGCTCACGGGCTCTGCATTTACGGCCCTAAATGCAAAACCCCAATCCCGAAAACCCTGGACTGGGGAAGCTCAGAAGTCTCAACAGGCAACGAAAGATTCAAACTCCGATCCCGACTCCCCCATGACATAGACACCTGACGAAGTTGACTTTGGTTTTAGGGTTTGCAGACTGTGATGAACCTACAAAGGGGAACCCTTTGGAGTACTGTTCTATCTTTTTTTCAGATGTGGACACAACGGCTCCATCTCCGCTGGCTCTCCTCCTTCTTGCCTTGTTTGCCTTCCTACTCTGACCCGCCTTCGCCGGAAGCTCTGGAGGACTGCTTTTTTGAGTGGCTGGAGTCCTGTTTTGTTCACTCCTCCTGACCGGGACTAGGCACCTTCGAAAGACATGACTTGGAGCTTAGGCCTCCCTTGGGCACCCGAAAGAGCTTGGAGCTATGCTCAAAATAGAATCATCACCAACTTGGGGGGTTTTCGGCGGGTTTCAGGGCTCCCCCTGTTCCCCGGAGAAGAAAGGATCTATGGCCTGGCGGGCAGATGAGAACACGCCCATGGCCTTGGGAGACTTTTGGGGCTTTGGGTGTACGTAGGGTTTTTTTCTGCGGATTTAGGGGCTTGAGGGTTTTTTTTGCCTCATGCGACAGGGAATGGCTTATGATCCTGCCTTTTATGGGTTTAGGGTTCAGGAGTGAGGGTTTAGGGTTCGGTTTTCGCGGACTTTGGGTTGGGCAATCAGAGAACAGGGTTAGCGATGTAAGGAAAACCGATTGGGTCCAGTACCCTGTTCCGTTTAGAAGGAGCCCCTAACTTTATCAGGGACCTCTGACTGGAAAGGACAGCCCTTCACAAACAGCCGGGAGATGTTGCACAAAACTGAAACCTCATGCACAAGGATCTCAAGACCATTTCCCTGTATCCATATCTTGAGATCAGCAGACGTCCATCGAAGAGCTGTCTCACAGCATTGAGAGCTCGTCTCTCCTCGCGGTACTCGGGGTGTGAACTCTTGGTTTGATGCATGTTTATATGTCCCGAGGCAAAGCTCCGAAGCTTCACAACAAAACCGAGCCCGGTGCTTTTATCACCGACTTGTGACGAGGTGCCTGAACCTACGGAATCTTCAGCGCCTAAATGCTCTTCAATTGTGATCAGCTCAATTTTTTGGAATCCCTCAGCGAGCGTAGTGTGTTCATTAAATCGGATTGCGGGCTCAGTATGGCACCCCACTCTCCGCTCGAAACACACATTAAACCCTTCGTGCCGCACTGCTTTCCCCAAGAGCTCCACCCACGGCTCTGCTTTAGAGTGCTCATCACAACAGCGCTTGCAGCACCCTTGACAAGATCCCCGGGACCACAAATATTGAAGCCAAAAATATGATTAATCAACAACCAATATTATCCCTTCAGGCCCCTTATCAGAATGATAATAATTATACCGCCCGCAAAACCCTATTCTGATTATTCAGGACCTTCTACTTGTTTGAAAGTAAGAGCTGCGGCGATGCCGGGCGCCTCCTCCTCCGTCAGCGTGCCACGCATGGGGGCCTCCGGCGAGGTGGGTTCGGCAGCCTCGGGTTCCGGTGCCGCCGTCGGAGGCTTCACCTGGGCTCTTGTTCAAGAAATAAATTTACGAATTAGTTTAGGTTACCATAATTGGGGTCCCTAGTAGAGTCTCGGCTTACTGGTATTCTGGTAACTTAAAACAAGTTCCCAAACACGAACCCAGGTTCAGCAGCTTCGGGTTCCGGTGCCGGTGCCGTCGGCTGCTTCACTGGCACTGCCGGGGTGATGGTGGGGGTCGTCGTTCGGACCACCATTCGCGGAGCTCCTTGGCGATTCACTCAGGAAAGATCAAGGAGCAAACATCGCAAGTGATCGTCGTGGGAAACATGAAGCAACAGTGGGCAGGCAGGTAAGCAACTAGGTCGGTATCATAGGTAGGTGAGCAAGTTGGCCAGGTGGCTAGGACGTCTTATGGTGCTAGTGCTTGCATTTTTTTGAGTCGAAGCATGGGCAGCAGTGCAACGGCTATTAGTAGCGGCACATCTCCACAGACTTTTTGAAAACGGCGTGGTCTTTCCTTTCTACCAAACCCAAGATACGAAGGATATTCTCCCACCCTATTTTATGACCATGACAACGAAGCCAAGTGGCCGGCAACAGTCCTTTGTGGGGTGGCGACATAGCTGACCCTTGCAGGTGGTGCATAGCCTGGCACGGTGGCAGCTGGGACCGTGTAGCGGTAGGTTGAACCAGCCGGCAAGCTTGCCACGCTGGAGCCAGCGGCAGGCACATAGTAGTAGCCGCTTCCTTGTGCTGAGAGAAAGGACTCAAAGTGGCTGGCTGTGCTTTGAAAGCACAACTTGGAGGGTTTGGGGCTTACGGATGCTCAAGAACATCCAAGCATCCTGCCGGCAAGCTGGCCGTACTGGAAGCACCTTGCGGCACGACGTAGCTGGATCCGGCTGGCAGGCTAACGGCACTGCAGCCAGCGTAGCAGTGAGCACTGGAGCCCGTCACGGGCTGAGCAACAGCTGCTGGCTTGGCCTGCATCCCCAACCGGAAGAAACACCGGACAAATTGGGATTTTGGATACAGGGTCAGGTCAGGAGACTCGCCCGCTCTGCTCATCTTTAGCCAGGACCCCGAAAATTTGCCCCATGGCAGCCACGTGACCGAAACCAGTCTCGGTGGACAGGGTGGCATCCTTGGGTCAAGATAACCGCTGTCACTGAACTGAACTGCAATGTCTACGAAAGCGAATCATTTCCATGGCCATGAGCTTCACCAGATAGCTACTTCACAGGACAACCACTGATGCCGGCCGAACTCGCATGCCTGTACTGAGGTGCCAAGCACAAGGACCATTGAGATGATGCTTGCGATGATGATGATCACGGATGCTCAGAGTGCGGATGAAGAGAGGGTCAGGTGAAAATGAGCATCATGATTGGGTTGATGGTGCTGCTCTTTCATGATGCCGATGTTGATCCTGATGGTGGTGACGGTGATAATGATAGTGACCATACTGCTGTCTGCTGCTGCTGCTGCTGCTGGCCATAGGGTTTGGAGTTCGCCCTGGTGATTGCGTTCGAAGCATGGCTCCGACATTTCGTGCAGAATAGGCGATGACTGTAATGATGGTAAGACTGATGATGTTGCAAATGGTGATGGAAATACTGTTGCGGTGAGAGGGTGTGGTAGTCGTAACAAGAATCTGCAAGACACGGGACTATCACCACCTCCACATCAGCAAAACAGCAGCGAAACGACAACAAGCCACACCTGTAACAAAAGCAGCAAAACAAGAACCAACAAGCAGCAACCGCAGTGGCACAAGCTAAGCGCCAACAGCAGAACCACAAGAACAACGACGACGACAGCAGCAGCCGCACAAGCAGCAGCAGCAGCAGCAGCAGCAGCACAGCAGCAAAGCAGCCGCAGCAGCAGCGGCAGCAGCGGCAGCCGCGGCAGCAGCGGCAGCCGCGGCAGCAGCAGCAGGGGTAGCGGCAGCAGCAAGAAAACAAAGAGCAAGAGCAGAAACAACGAGCAAAATCAGGAAACCCCACTAAGCAAAACAAGAAAGGGTTTTTGGCCCCCAGCGACTTCCAACCGCAAAGGAGCCACATCTTGGGAACGGAGTTGCAGCGCCTGAGCAGCTGGAGGCCCACCAAACACAACGCGTCGAGATTGGGACCCGGATTCAGCAACCCGGCTCCCTTGAACACCGTACAGGTGTTGGGTCTTGTGTAAAAGCGTGCTCTAGGAGCTACAAAAGGTTTGATTTGAATACTACCCACCTTTTTATGTCAAAAAGGGTTTCATGCTAAAAGCTCTATTGCATCCTAGATGTTACTTGCATTGGTGTTTGTGCTACATACTCCAACCATATTTCAGCATCATGACAAATACTAGGCCCCCACGAAAGCCCGAGCCAGGTACACTTCTTTGACCCATCCTCGAGGGGGCGGGTCTCTTAAACTCAGCAGGGGACCCTCACTTGGGTCCCATTCTTCGTCCCAAGTTGAAGGTAAGGGTCCTGCTGCCTTCAGGACTCGGGGTCCCGTTTTGAACTCTGCTTCTGAACCTCAGTGTAGTATTATATTATATAGTATATTATATAGTATATAGCACAGTATACTATAGTACAGTATATTATATATTATACTGAAACTCAGCTACCAAGACAGATTGGCAAAGCAACAGCCCGGACCCAAGCCTTCAGCTCGGGCTCCCGGCCCCGGCCCCAACCCCAAACCAACAATAACGCGGGCAGGGCGCGGCAAAGGGGCCCTTCGAGGTGGGGAGTCGTCGTCGCAGTTCCTCATCCATCCTGGTTTAGGGCTTAGGGTCACAAGGCTCTTGTCTTGTCGCTTCTCTAGCTTTACATGGGCAGCTTAAACCTTCAAGAAAATCGCAGTCTGAGAAAAAGGATGTCTGAGTCTAAGAACTCTGTAGTTTGGGTTTTTTTTTGGGGGGGATGTCACCTCAAGTCACCTCAAACCTTCTACGCCGATTCTACGCCCTAAGTCGGAAACTATTCATTGTCATGTTGCATATGAGGGTTTGGGGCTTAGACTGGTTGTCCTCTTGCCGGGTCCACCAGCCCAACAGGGCTCTCTATCCGGTGTTCACTGTGCAAGAATGCAGCGACCTTAACTAGTCTTGCTGTGAGAAGTACAACTTCACACCTCGATCCTCTGAACACCCACCGAACAAACGTGTAAACATTCAGAGACGAAGCACCGATGTAGCAGAATTTATCTTCTGACAACCAGTTGCTCTGGAAACCAAGAGGGCTTCATGGTGTTGGGTTCTGTTGGGTAGGACTGCGAAGAAAGCCCGTGTGGGGGTAGCGTTCATGGTGAAAGCTTCGGATCAGGAATTTCAGTTTTGGCGACTGGCCCAAACAACCCAAGGATGATACTTCAGGACCAGGAAGTTCCTTATAAACCCCTAGTTATAACACCTGTTTAACCGCACTCGAACGCCCTCTGCAAGCCAAAGTTCCTCAACAAGACACCCCAGGATGCCCCCAAATGCCGCCAAACCCAAAGCTCAAGCCCTTCAGGGGGTTAAGGGGTTTGGGGCTGAATGCCAGGGTGGCTCCCTGGCTGTTGACCATGGCGAGCAAAGGAGCGGGAGACCGGGGCTCGGTGCTGTTCGGTGCTGAGCCAAGCAGCTCAGCAGTCACTTTACGGTTTAGGCTTTAGGGCTGAGCCCGTGGAGTGTAGGACCTTAGGTATAAGGCTTTAAAGGCTTCAGCGATTCAAGGCCAGAGCTTTTAGGTTTGGTGGTGAAAAAAAGTGTTTGGCTCAAGGGCTGGACCTCCTGATTGCTGACGCTGGTCGCCTTTCCAGAGGCTCAGAGTCTAGGACTTGTACATGGGCTTAAAGCTTGGGGTTTAAGACGTTTTTTCCCTCCTACTCAGCGTTGAGGATGTTTAGGGTTTCCGGTTTGCATCTCTCTGCTGCGTATCTCTGGCACATTCTACCAGCAAAGGACATGGGTTCAAGCATAATCATAAGCAAGGCGAGTCGTGTAGTCTTCCGTCACCCTGACATGGGCTATCCTCTGGATACCAGGTGCCCCTACAAACTTGAACGCGTGGTTGATCCCTTATGTTCTCCACTCCCTGAGTTAGTATCCTGTTTCAGTGTAGGGCAAGGGCCTCTGACCATCTTTACAGACTTATCCCAAAGCGAAAAGCCTTGGGTGTAGCAACTAGAATATTCTACCCTGTAGCCTATAGCCCACCCTAAAGCATCATCCTGTGAAGAAGCAACAAAACCTGAAATACACATTATGTAGGCCCTCCAGCAAAATCGCAGAGAAAACGCTGAAGCACACCCAATAGTGAAATTCCAGGATGCCCACACGGAGCCCTAAACAGTATGTTTTGTAGATTAAAGACCCTGAATGGGAAGCCCCTGAAAGACTAGCCCACTAGCCCTAAACCCTAGTAGCTCCAGTGGCCTGCTGCATCACCGCTTCGAACGCCAGCAAGCAAACGTCGGGCTGCAAAGCTTGTTGGCAGGGAGCGAGTAAGGGTTGACGCTCCCACAACTCGGGCAAGCCAGGCGAGGTCTTTTTGATTTTTTTTGTCCAGGCGAGGGCTTTAGGCCAGGTTTACAGGGTTTAGGATATACAGGGAACTGAAACGGCTAGAGAATGGTCTCGGGTATTTTATGGTACGCGTATACAGGGACGAGAAGGGGTCATCATGGCTCCAAGGTTTCAGGTCAATGAATTCTTCTTTCACCATTCTATACGGACTGCAATGGAAGATTTGGGAAGACATGTACCGGACGGATTAGATGGCAGAGTTCTCCACGCCTGTTCGGCTTTTTGCGGGCATTGGGTACTTCGCTGATCGAATGGCCTAATGAAATACAGGTCAGGCTACCTCGGCATTCGGGATTCCCAATTTCATGCCTCCTTGGATAAGCAGGATATTTTCTCTTGAACAAACTTCCGTTCTAAAGGCACAAATGCCAGCCTCGATGCAACACTTTTGAGAGGAGGTGCCCTCCTGACAGCGTGGGCTGGTTCTATTTGCTGCGCAAGCAGGGATACTGAAGGTGTTGTCATATTTCCAGCAACAAAGCCTTTCGATGTGCGAGTGTGCTCAGACCACGGTTTATGCTCTCACAACTCGGACAAGCCAGGCGAAGTTTCACGGTGCGAAGTCGGCGTGACACAGCAAACAGCATCCCATCCCAAGGCAAGACCCACAGAACCCACATCCAAGACCATCACAGCCGAAGAACGGCAAACCCAGGCCAATGGGATGCTGAGTACGACCGTGTTGAAGACATGTAGAGGGATCATCGTTATCATGGCAGGCTGTGCTTAAATTAAAGCTGTTTACAACTCATTCAAGTCCAGAAGGTCCTAGCAAAGCCTCCCAGTGAAGCTCATGGGAAGAGTATGGGGACTCATTGATCAGAACGGGGTCTGGGGTGTTTTCAAAGTATGGGACGATGAGGGACTATATATGCTATGCGACTGGTTTTCAGATCCCACTGATTGGTATGTAAGCAGCAATGGAACTACTTCGGACCGGATCTTTCGAAGCAGACTCGATACAGCCGTAGACTAGAAGCAAAGATGACAGAACACGAAAGACCCCAAATGAAAAATGCAAGGCAGAATCGAACTCCGACTCGCCCTTTCAGAAACAAGGTCAATGTGACTTTGAATTTTCTTAGCAGGCTGGGATTGGGTTAGGTTGGGCTGATCCTTGCTTTAAATGGCTCCCTCAGAATACCCAGTAGTAGCACAGGCCAAACTTGCACCCCCCCTTTGAAGCCAGGAAGATAGCACCTCCTCGGCGAAACAGGGGCTAGAATCTGGAAAAGCGCAGCAGAGTGCCTGGGACAAGCTTTCCAAACATCAGACTCAGATCCCCAACGTTACAAGCCTCGGAGCTCATATGCCGCATCAGATTTATTTAATGTACCAGACTGGAAACAACCTGTAGGTTGTGTAGGGAGGTGGATTTTGACACTTCGGAACGGCAGGCATGTTTTGGATTGGCTGGCGGCTTGGGCCTCCTTGCACCTTCTTTGGCACTCCGACTGAGTCTTCAAAGGCAAGTCTCTACCCCGAGACTCAGGGACGAACCTTTCGATTTGGTATTTAAGAAATATACACCAATGACGAGCTCACATCGATATGCAGAAGGTTTTGCAGAATCTGATTGTGGCAAGGTGCTCGGCTGAGTCCCGCAGCCCAGCAAGAGTTTGGGATGGCGCCGAAGCGTCGCAAAGCCTCGCATACAGGCTCTGTGGCTTGCCTTTTGAGGTTTGCTTTCTGTTGCTGGGGTTCGTACGTAAGTGTAAGGCTCAGGACTGTTTGCCAAGAGTTTAGAGAGTTCATACATTGTAGGAATAGGAAGGCATCCGGACCTCCAAAGAATCAATACATATTTAGACCGGGATTAACAATGAAGAGTCTCCCGGAATCCGTCCTGGAAATGCAGGCGCCCTGCAGGATTTGGGGCTAGGAAGCGAGGTTTTTCAGTTCCCCCCATCTCAGGGAATGGGGGGAGGTGGGTAGTGCGCTTCGCCTCCACTCTCCAAGCAGCTCTCGGTGCATTTGGGGCATCTGAGGCAGTGTTTTTCAGCTGTGAAGCAGCCCAACACGTCTGGGAGAATGCAAAAAGGAGCCTCGATAGAGCATCTTGCCGCATCGCGTACACAGTCCATAGAGACCATAAACAGCCTCACACCTGGCCTGACACTGGCATATAGCGAGCTCTTTGTGCGTGTACATCGGAAGCTTACAATTGTCCAGGCAAAAAAAGCAGTAACAACGAGAGTAATTGTATATCCGTGGCTTGCGCACACCCCACGATGTTATACATTCTAAGGTGACGGGCTCATTAGGATTCGGAACGCGGCATTCGTGTGTATAGACAGGTCCTAGAGACTTCAACTAGGGCCGAGGTTTGGCCAGGATCGAGAAAACCCACACCACGCTGTCGCAGCTGGTCCACCCTCAAGAGCCATCGTCATGTCTTAACCCCAAACCCTACACCTAGAACCCTAAACCCTAAACCCCGAACCGAAGTATGGATGGGAAACTCTGCAAAACCCCTTTACCCGCCGGAAGCTTTGGAGTTTCGCGCCTGCAAAGTCAAGGCCTCCTGGCCTCGACAAGTGTCGGGATATCTCCGTCAGCAATGGCATGAATTGGTTGTGTAACATCCATCAGCAAGCTATCAAGACTTAACAAAGTTCGTAAGAAGATCATCCCTAAAACAGGAGCAGCGAGAATGCAAACGAAACACATCTGAACTCGCCCTGGCGCTTGGACTCTTCGGTAGGAGGTTCAGGGGTGCTCTGTTGGGACTTTCAGCCGAGGTCTCAGGGAAACACGGGCTGCAACGAGAAGATACTCTAGGGGCAGTGATTGTAGGATTTGCTCAATGAGCTGCCTAAGAAGTTGATACGGTTCCATGATAACGACTTCTCGGGGCAGAATGCAGCTATGTAGGGACTGTAAGGGGAGAGTATGTCGAATTGTTAATCTCTCTGGAAGGTTGGGCACCAGTAAGATCACGGCGCTAGCATTCCATTCAGGCTTTTTTTTAAGTGAATGAAAGAAAATTTGACTTCAGGCTTCTGTATCAGGGTTTCGAAACGTTTAGGTTTTCGTGTTTAGGAAACTTTTCATAGTTCGGAGGTATGCGGAGCCTATGGTTGCTTCACTCAGGTGCTTCCATAAGTTACGGAAGAGCTTTGGGGAGGATGAATCCAACGGGGGAGGACACAGCAACCAGGCTTTCCTCAAGTACAGGAAACCCGAAGACTGCAGCTTCAAATGTCAAGAGCTCAAATGCGCTGTGTCGGGCACTGCTTGGCTGCATGTAACCGGGGCTCAGGACATAGGACATGCGGCTATGGCGTGTGCTGCAGGGTCCTCCATCCGCTTAGATTGATACAACAGGCCTGTGGCAGAGCAGTTCAGGCGTCCTTGCAGCAAGTCTGCGGCAACACCTGTCAGCTGCAATTCTGCAGGTCAGCGGAAGCTGCGGCCTCTACGCATTAAATGCAGTATCCTCCAAGCCCTTGTTCCAGAGCCATCTCGACTTGTGCTAAATGTAGGGTTCTTAATAGTTAGAATAGGATTGTTTTGGGGTACATTCTCGTGATTATGACTATCATAAGGAACCGGAATAATATTGGTAATTATCGAGAGCCGCCCTGCAAGCAGCACCGAAGCAGCACCTCTGTGATCCCTGTGCGTCAAGCCAAGGAGGAGACACCCTGAAACCTACTTCAAACCTCTGAAATCGCATGTCGCACGGCTTTTGGTGTCAGTTCTGCAGTCAGATAAGCCCCATTACCCTCAGTGCCCTCCTTGAACAGCCTTACATTCTCCGAGCCCCTCTGCACCCTGCAGCACTTCCAGGACTCGAACAGGCTTCAACCGCGAATCTTTCCCGGAATGCCTGTTGTCCCGAAGCCCGGAACGGAACCACTTGAACCGACAACTCTTCAATCAAGCCGAACTCGAATCTTATCGAGCGCAGCCCGTTCTTCAGCCGCCCGGGCACGTCGCAGATCTTCGCTGCTCAGGGCGTCGAAGGGCGGTGGCAGCGGAAGGCTGGCAGTTAGG